ATAGTTTGAACTGGGTTTAAAACACAATAGCAGGGCAAAAAAGTTATACAGTGTAAATTATTTTATCAAAGGTGTATTGCATGTTTTTTTATTCACGGCTTATCACGAGTTGTGGTGCTTCATGAACAGTTCTTTCATGAAGCGAGCTTTCTCATACGTAACGACTCGTTTATGAACTGACTTCGATTTCTTTTTCTCAGGAACTGACGTTTTAACGTTATCTCAATCCAGGTTTGTTTTCTCTTTTGTTTTGAAACTCATTTTAGTCAACCAGTGGAGAGAGCTTCTATTTGAAGTCCCCTAAACAAAATGAAGCCCTGAAAAACGTTACGTAATTTAGTGTTCTAGAATAACATTACACAAGCTTCATTTATTTCCTTCTAGTAAATAAATTTCGTATCCACTCTGGTATCTACTTATTGTGTCATATCATTTATGTCAGTTTCAGCGATATTTCTGGCCCTCTCTCATCCTATGACTTATCAATTCCAGTCCCTGCGCCATACAGACCTATTTTCCCTGCCATTACAGAGGTTAGACAAGTTACTTTGTGCTTATATCATAGCCTTTATGAGGTTATGGATCACCAAATTAGTTCAGACTAATAATTTTTGTTCTTGTTTCTTAAGCCGGCCAAGCCCGCTGACTTTGAAGATGTAAAAGCTTCGTTTGTTGAAAGAATCCAGGGTTTATTTGAAGACATTTCAGCAAAATATGCAGAACTACAGACGTAAGTTTCCTTTGAATCCAAACTATTTTCCAGGGTCTTTCGTAACCCAGCCCCTCTAGATCCCCCTGGCGTGAGGGTGAAATACTACTCTCCCCAGTAGTCTGTGGAATTTCTGTTTTTTTTATTTATTTATTTATTTATTTTTTACCTCATTCTGTCGTAAACACAAGTTTATTACGTCTTGAGCCTCTTGACCAATCACTTTGCGAGAATCGTTGTTAAGTTCTAACAGACTAATGCATATGGCGGAAACCGTCTTCAGCTTGATTCTGCTCTTATGTTTGTAGACAAAAAGAAGCTTTGAGAAACGCCACAGAAGCATTTCACGAGGAAAAAACAGCTCATATGGAGTTGTACCAGAAACAACAGCAGGTGAGAACTGATTAGCTCCGAGCTCAAAACATAACAATGAAACCCCAGAGTAATGAACTCCCTTGGTTCGAGATATCCGTTGTTCTCCGAAGATTTAGCTGGTCATATCCGAACTTCTCCGAAGATTTAGTTGGTCATGTCCGATGTTCTCCTAAGATTTAGCTGGTCATGTCCGATGTTCTCCGAAGGTTAAGCTGGTCATATCCGATGAACTCCGAAAATTTACCTAAGCTGGTCATAGATTGAAGCGCAGCCAGGATGAGACATGATTAAAAATTGAGATAAAAACGAACGTTCGCTGGCTAAAAAAATTTCAAAAAAGAACATGAGCTTTCGGCTGTCAATCTACAGCCTTTTTTTATCCGTCGAAGGCTGAAGATTGACAGCTGAAAGCTCATGTTCTTTTTTGAAATTTTGTAGCCAGTGAACGTTTTTATCTTAATTTTGATTAAGCTGGTCATGTCCGATGTTCTCCGAAGATTTAGCTGGTCATATCCGATGTTCTCCGAAGATTTAGCTGGTCATGTCCGATGTTCTCCGAAGCTTTACATGGTTGTATCCGATCTTCTCCGAAGATTGGGCTCATTATATCCGATGTTTACACCAATTCTCCTTTCTGTTTCCCATGGGTCCCTTTGAATATTAATAATGTTATAGTTATGAGAGTTTGGCGATGGATCGTTTATTGCTTTGAGAGTCAGAAGTTTGGCATGACTATTGGCCTGTTAAACGTATTTTCTTGTTAATTTTGTCTTAGGAACTGGAAGAGATGATCGACAAACACAGAATCGAGAACGAGGAGTGGATAAATGTACGAAAACAAGAACTTGAAGAAGAAAGAAAACAAGTGGAATTAGAAAAGGTAGTGTTGTGAGCTATTTACTGAGATCTCTTTACGTCATGTGGTGAATAAGACCTCTTTATTTATGTCCGTGATATAGTTTGGTTTTACGGGGTGAGGTAGTTGTCCTCGCGGTAAATCCCCAAATCTGGAGGGCCAGAGTCTGTTTTTTTGTCACATAATTAGTAGAATAACATACATAGAGGCGCACGAAGATTCAAGAAAAAGGTATCTATGTTTTGTGCCTAAATGTGGCTTGAAAAGAGCTTAGAAAATCGTGCGTCAAAAATGATTTTTACGATAACTGCAGAAATTCTCGCGCGCTCATTGGCTAATTTTCATTGTCAATAGGCGGACAGACGTGTGAATTTATAATTTATGCGATGCGTCAACATGCGAGAGCGGACAATTGGCCTTTTGCACGATCCGGTCACATGGTGCAAAATCACACATGCTGGTGAGCAAGTTGCGCAGTGGGACTTCCAAAACAAAGGCAGGTCCAGGTGGACTGGTACGAGTTGCATTGTTTTGGAAGTCCCACTGTGCAACTTGCTCACCAGCATGTGTGATTTTGTACCATGTGACCGGATCGTGCAAAGGGCCTATTTGATACTTTGTCATTGTAAAAAACAGATTAAGTCAGCTTTTCATGTGTCTGTCCTGTTATTGACAATGAATTTCGTCATAACATGGCCAAAGTAGTCTGCGGATCCACTCGGCTATCGCCTCGTGGATCCACCACTACTTTGACAATGTTAGGTCCAAATTCATGATCAATAACAGGACAGACGTATGAAAAACTGACGTCAATTCGTTAACTCGAAGCTGATGAAATATATGCTTCTTTGTTGGAAGATCAGGCAAAAATGATCTTGAAGGCGTGCTTGACTAGGTGTTTGTTGTTGTATATTGTTGTGAAATAAATTGTTTTCACTGTATTTCTTGACAGAGCCAGTTGCTTGAAGATCGCGAAAAACTCCGCAAGGAAAAAGAAGAGTTCAACGAAAAAATCCAAGCCATCGAAAGACTTGGCGGCGGAACCAGTCATCTGATGAATGGATCAAATTAAATTAAATCCGGCTTTAGTCAGCTGCAAGTCAATTTGCAAAGACTAAATGTTTGCCTGGAATCAAAAACTTTCAGCGTAGAGAATGCATTGATGGTAAACCAAGATAACTTATAATTATGATAATATATAGTCAAAGACTAGTAGTTATTAAAACCCTAAATTTTAAAATGTAATTTATTGCAGAACTGTTGTTCTCTTCACAACTAGCGATCATTCGAGTTGCCGTGAAATTCCTCCCTTAGCGTTAATTCTACTTCGGAATGTAAGCCTTTGCCTTTATATTGATCAACCCCCGCCCACACTTCACGTCATCAAATGAACCGCCCAATGTCGATTTACCCGGGCGTTTCCTTGAAGAGCCTGGGACCGAGCTTTTGTAGACCTTCCCCAACTTTCTCCCTTCGGAAGAATTTTTAGTGTATTACCTGGGTGCAAACAAAGAGCCTCCTTAGCTTATTGCCGGTTAACAACAGGTCTGTTAGATTGTTTGCTCTTTAATAAGACTATTTATAACTGGCGAATGGGAGGGCGCGGAGAGCCTGGGCCCGGACTCTATATTTTTTCGCCAAAAAAGCCCTTCAAGTTTTGAGCCGTCAAACGAATAAATATGTGTGGTTTATGAAAGCTGACATTCGTGTCAAAATGATAATAAAATAGTAAAAAAAAAAAAAAAAAAATGATAAAAAATAGAAAACCTCCATCGTGCGGTGTTCGCAAAAACTTCACAGTAGTACCGATGAATCCACGATCTCTACCTTTCAGTCGGAAAACAACACGAGCATTCTCCGAACGTCCCTCACCTTAGCAAAATACCACCGACTCTAAAATTTGCGGGGAATGAAGACCACTTAAATTTTGCACTACGAACGCACAACCCATCGATGGTTTTACTTCTACTTTAGGTAAAAAATACTTTACATACAATGATGGAGTCATACAAAATTCCATCTGTTCTCGTTATTTTTCCTAACGACCGAAACTTGCGATTATGCTTCAACTGCGGAAGATGAAACTTTGTTAACCTTGACAGACTTTTTTCACGACAAGTAACCAAGTTGTTTCAGCGTGTTATTCTAAAACGCTATTCTGTAAGGAAACTTTAAACACTCGTAAACTTCCGTAAATTTCAAAATGTAAGTTTTCAATTCACGGCTGAGATAATCTTCACCGTGCATCTACATACACATATGAACACTGCATGCGATCAACAACTAGAATCTCCTTAAAACAGCAATACGAAATCAGACTAGTAAATTACGATAATAAAGGCGTTGATCAGCAATGGAAAATTTTCTTGATCTAAAATATGTCCTAACCAGTAACTGTACGAAATGTATGGAACCAATATTGATAAAACGCTGAACATACCTACCTACAATCGTTTCTTTCCAGCAAAAATTGCGCAAGTAAGCAAGTAACTATCTTTTTCTACGTTTATCAGGGGGTTCACTACCGTCTCTTTCAATGCCAGGTCTCAACTTTCTAAGTTCCCTTTCAAGTTCGGTAATACGAGGAGACAAACTATTTCTGACCTCTCGCAACTGGTCTTCTTTCGCGCGAACTTCTTCCGCCTCTTTCTCGTGTTTTTCGAACGTTAACTGCAATCTGTCCAAAGCTTCGCACCTCTCTTTCAGTTCGCGATAACGCACCTTTTCGCGAGCCGGTAACGCTCCGAACGCGAACCGCAAATCTTCCATTCTTGGTGGGCAGCGCTTCTTGGGATCCATCAACCCGTCAGAGGCGATCATGTTCCCATCACGTGTCAAAATCGTGGGACAAGACTGCTTCATTCGGGTGAGGTGCTCGCGATACGTCTGTCCAGACTTCAGATCTTTGACCACGATCGTCTTCGATAGAAGATTCCAAAAAAGGCTGCTGCGAAGGTAGCCATTGTCACTCGTAAACTCGAGCAGATTCACAGCGAATTCAATAGGGCTTCGGTAATTTGAAGGAGGCGCAGGGAGCTCTAAAGGCAGAGGTTTGCCATCGCTTCCATCAAAGTCCCTTTTCGAAAAGGGAAGTAAAGTCGCTTCGCAGTAAGCCGAGCATCCTGCGTCGTAAACCTTTCGTTGCTGTTCTGTGGTGGTAGTGAGCGCTACTGGCATTTTCGACTGAAGATACCACGAGAGGATGCGAGCAACTAATGGGTCGGAGACGTACGCGAGTTCTGCTACAATACCTGAAGAAGAAAAAAAGAAAGAAAAATATTTCTTCGTCGTTTCCACACAATTTCTGGAAATAAAACAACACTTGTTGCTATAACGAATGACCAATGCTAATAACCAAGAAGAAAAACAACATCAACTGTCAAACCTAAGTTTACAATTTCCCGCCAAAACAGCAAGACAATTTTCTTTCTTACCTTCACGCCCACAAAATCAATCCAACATTTATGTGATGAGAACAAGCAAATCAGTAGCTGCTGAATTTTTTCAGAGATAACACTCCACCAAATCATGGTTATCAGTAACGAGAACTTATATCTCAGTTTTCCAGCTTTGGGGCATATTTCAAGCCGGGTGATTTGGAGTCAAGACACGTTTGAATTCACTAGTAGACTTTTGATTCATCTCGTTTAACCGTAATTGGGAGGACACTAACTTCGCGATGCTCTCGAAAGTTATGACATGAGTTTATTTGCCGCATGAATATCAAAATGCGAGATGTCCATAATATGTTATTTACCTATGAAACTCGGAAG